GGTCACAGAGAGTACTGGGGTAGGGTTCAGAGGATGTGATGGTGAGGGAATAGTTCGAAGGGTATGATGAGCGGGGTAATCCGGGTCCTTGGCTGTACAGGAGCTGTAATGCAGGCAGGAGGAGCACACACATCAGCGATCCGGGAACTAGGAGGAACAGGAGACACTTGGAGACGAGGAGACACTATGAGGAACACAGGAGGTAAGTAATGCAGGAAGTATTCAAATGGAAGTAGTAGCAAAGTCATTGAGTCCTCTACGTGTATACGAGACTGGACAGTGAGGGTGTCTGAGGTGTGTGCTTTTATGCAGGCTGGTAATGAGGTGCTTCATTGGTGACAGGTGCAGGTGCTCAGAACTCAGGTGAGAGGGATCGTTGTGATTGGGTGGTGGTGGAGCCTGGCCGATCTGTTACAAGAACAAAGAAGTGTACTACATGTAATCAGTGCTAATTTAATACAGGTACTCTCTTATTTACAGTACACTCAGTTAGACTCATTTTAGATCAAGTCAAGTCAAGTTTATTTGTACAGTGCTTTTCATGATACAAATCATTGCAAAGCAACTTCACAGCAAATTAAGTTTCTACAATATTTAGTGGTAGCTTATCAGTGGTGACTGTCAGTTAATGTACATATGGCAGAAATGTACGGAAAAAATCAATTTAAGAAGTAATAAAACAGACGATGAACACTATTAACAGCAATTATTATATGATGCAATCAAACTTATAGCAAAATGTGGTAGTTTTGTATGTTGTTTCAGGGTTGGCATCATCTGAGGTCCTCTGAGGGGTTGGCATCATCTCTTCTCAGGTGTTCTGGATCCAGACTGAAGCTTGTGTAAATCCTAAAAAAACAGAGAAACAAATAGAGACATAATTAGCGTAGCTGCTGTTCCAACCAAGCAAGTCTCGGTTTGAGGATCAGAGACTGGCTCAGAAGGCTAGTGTCGCGGCTCGTGCTCCTCCCCCACCCACGGGTAGGGGTAGGAAGAATCGCGGGTCAAAGGAAAGGTGAGTAAAAGACCTAAGGGATGTGATCCAGACAGGGCACCAGTGCTTTTGTCCGGATCAGAGTGATACCTCAGTATCTACTCATTTCCTTCGGGGGTCTTACATCTGCCCTTATCTTCACCTTCCTAATTCCCCTGTAACCACCATCTCTCCACCTGACCAAGGTTAGGTGGGAAAGACTGGTGGTTGTGTGTATAACCCTTCTGCTAGTTTCTTTGCAGTGTTTCCCGGGACCTGTGTGTTTCTGTCCCTTTCTAGGGTAGGTCCTCGATGGGCTGCTGGGTTCAGAAACTGGGTGCTCGACTTGCAGTGCTTATTCACTCGTCGATATATGTCTAGACGGCTACTTCCTGGATCATGCGGCCATAACACAGGCTTCTGCAGGAGCCTTTGTGATCATCAGGCCCCCGGCGCGTCACTGCTAAAATTTCCTGGACGTCCGGGCTGGGGTTACGCTTTTATGCTACCCTGAATGGTCTACCGTATCTGGGTCGCCCTGAGGGGTTTTCCCGATCACCAGGATATCCCCTCTTGCTAAAGGCATCGAGCGGGCGGCATAGGTGGCATTACGTGAACCTTCCTGTGTAAATGCTGTCTCGGGCAGTGCTCCCCTCACCTTTGAAGGTTGTATTTGAGCTTGCCTCTCCCGTTTGGCCCATTACTTCCGGGTATCTGTAAACAGATGCTTGGAAAACTCTAAAATAAGTGCAGCACGTTAAGCTTTGCGCACTTTCTAAAATCCACATAGCTGGTAAGTGCGCACGTTATGCTTTGCGCACTTTCTAAAATCCCCATATCTGGTAAGTGTGCACGTTATGCTTTGCCCACTTTTCTAAAATCCACATAAGTGGTAAGTGTGCACGTTATGCTTTGCCCACTTTTCTAAAATCCTGTATGGTAGGGGTTACACGTTATTGACCTCGTTCCCTTTCTCTGAGTTGGTTAGACCCCGGTTCCTTGGGCTCCACTCAACTAGTGTGTCTCTGTCGACACACTTTGGAAGCATCGCTCCCCTCACCAGTGAGGGTTATTATGAGTATGGTGCTAAGTGGGTAGAACACAAGTCATCAGTGCAGTTATTTGAGATTTGACTTACTAGTCATATGGTGCGTAGCGTCCTGGAGATGTTGTCCGACATCAGTTCTGATGTGGTGCAGGCCATCAGCGTGAATAATCCTAGGACGCTCCCAGAAAAGATTCCAATTATTAACAAAGAGCAGTTTCTGTTCTTTACACCATGACAATAACCATTCATTTAAAACAAAAGTCTCGATCAGGCTCCTGAAGTCCCTCTTCAGTGTCTCCGTCTGCCACAGCTTGGTGTCGTTAACCCCCGCGTGAAGCACGACACCAGGGAAACAGTGAGTTTGCACTTTACCTTCAGCTAATGTAGCACGGACGTGCCAGACGATGGAGTCTCCGATGATCACAGCGTTGCGTTCCCTCTCGCGGAGGGGAGCGAAGCGGTGGAGGGTGGAGATCTCGAAGACCGGAGGCGGTGGAGGGGGAGAGGTCGTCGCCCGGGGCCTGGTTCGCGTCTTCCGTGGCAGGTGCACCCAGGGTCAGTGGTGTCCCGGCGCCAGGGTGAAGGACATCTGGGAAGATCGTGTCCTGGGTGCACCGGGCCTGTACAGAGAAACACATGGAGAAGAGGTGGTGGGAGAGTTTGCAGCCTGGGATGTTTCCAACGTGGCTCTCCGCTCTCTCAGCTGGGTCTGCCTCTCCACCAGGTCGCGGATCTGCTTCTCCACGGCCTCCAGCTCGAGCTGCATTCGAACGTGCCCTCACCTGCATTCAAAGGTAGACGCACATCCGCCATTAAATCAAGTAACAGTGAGTAAAACAATGGAAATGTGTGTGAATAGAGTATTAGTAATGTAAGCAAGATTAGCGGCAACCACGCTGGTGATGCTAGTGGGCTATTTGCTAATAGCGGACTCGGGAAGTCAAAATAGAACTAGTGATAACAAGGCGCTCTGATTGTTTTTGTTGTAGAATACGATCGGGGATATATTCACACGTATAAAATTGATAAAAAATTAGATGACAAAGAATTAACTTGACGGAGCTCAAACTCCTTGAGCTCAAACTCAGATCACATGATCACATAAGGAAGAGAAAGGGATTCCATTTAACGCCTTCATGATGTAGAGAAATGAGGAGGAAAAGTGAGGATTAGAAAAGGTCAGCAAATCCAAGGAAACCCCTTTATCATATAGCTTCTCTCTCTCTCTCTCTCTCTCTCTCTCTCTCTCTCGCTCTCTCTCTCACTTCCGGTGTGATTGTTGGGAGTGCGGTTGGTTTCTGTGAGTGAATCTTTGTTCGTTTTTTTTTTGTTTAAGTTCTAGTTGTTTTGGGCCGCGTGCTACCTGTTTTACCGGCAGCATGACTGCCCCGCGCTCGCAATGTTTGAGTTCACAATATAATATACCACCGTTCTTAAGTGATGAGATATTAACTAAAGCTTTGTCTCGTTATGGCAAACTGGTCTCTCCCATTAAAAAGTGGGAGAGTGGATCACCCTTACTAAAACATGTTGTTTCGTTTAGGCGTTTTGTTTATATGATAATGAATGACAATGCTGACTTGGATGTTTCCTTGTACTTTCGGGCTGATGAGTACGATTACATTATTTACGCAACAACTGACAAAATGAAATGTTTTAATTGCGGGCAAGCTGGTCATTTAATCCGTGCTTGTCCCGCAAAAAATTCAAACAACCCGTCAGCTAGTGGTGATGTAGGCGCTGGTAGAAATTATGTGGTGGTTAACGCTGAACCCGATGAAGCAGGACCGTCAGACGAGGCCCCGGGTGTTTCAGGAGTACGAGCAGTGGAGGACAAAAATGATGATGAATTACCTGTGATCATGGTACTGCTAAAGAATTAGCGCCTGAAAACATGTTTTCTGGTGCAGAAGTGTCTAATGTTCAGGCGGAGGTAGCCGTCATTGAGACAGATAGGCATTTAAACAATGCTTTCAATAATGTCCTACAATCTACTGTGAAGAATATATGTGATGACACTGTAATGAAAACAGAGCAGACAAATTTTAAAGTCCCGTTAAAAGAAGAAGAAGTCTGGTAAAGCTCCGATTGTTAGACATGCAAAGAAAGCAGATATAACCGAGTTAAGTGACAAGGATGAAACGGAAAGTGATAGTGAATCCTTTGATTCAAGTGTTAGTCTTTCTCAGAGTGATTTCTCTGGACGTCATTATGAGGTAGATGACATTAAACTGTTCCTTAGAGCTATTAAAAATAAGAGAGGAGTGTGCATTAATGAATATTTTCCTGACATGAAACAATTTGTTGAGAAAACAAAGTGTTTCATGATGGAGGGCTCCTTTACAAATAAGGTCTATCGGCTGAAAAAAATGGTGAGGAAACTTAACTCTGAGCTTAGCAATGAGGACAGTGAGAAAGCCTAATTCCATGTTTTTTAAGAGGAGTTTCCTGTGGGCAAGGATTTTTCTTTTTTCCTTTTTCTTTTCTTCAAGTATGTGTCATGTTAATGTTGCCACTCTAAATTTGAATGGTACTAGAGATATGCACAAAAGAGCTGAATTAGAAATTCATCAGAAAAAAATTGATGTTACTCTGTTACAAGAGACACAAACTGATTTTAGTAATGCTGCTGATTGGGCAGTAGAATGGAATGGGATTGCTGTCTTAAGTCATAATACTTCACTTAGTGGTGGAGTTGCTATTCTTTTTGCTAAGAATTTCAGCCCACACTCTTATCAGGTTGAATAGGTTATTAAAGGTAAACTTTTGAAAGTAAGAGCTTCTTTTGAAAATGTTGTATTTGTTTTTATTTGTGTTTATATACCAACTTCAGCTGTTCAAAGAATGTTATTTTTAAATACTTTGTGCTATGTTTTACAAAATGTTGGTGTTGATGAATATTTATTCTTGGGTGGTGATTTTAATTGCACAGAGTCCAACTTAGATATAAATCATATTGAACCCCATTTACCTTCACGTCAACGTCTTGTTCAGTTAATAAAAACACATTAATTAATTGATATTTGGAGACAGCTTAATGGAGAACAAAAACAATACACTTGGACTCATGCTCGTGATAACATGATTTCATTGGCAAGACTGGATAGGTTTTATGGTTTTAAATATCATGGTAGTATTGTTAAGAGTTGTTTTATTACCCCATCATGTCTTTCAGATCATAGTATGGTGCAGTGCTGTATCTTTTTAAACTATATTAAGCCAAAGAGTGCTTATTGGCATTTAAATACCGCGTTATTGGATGATAATTGTTTTAAAGAAGGCATTAAAACTTTTTGGGATGTTTTTAAAACTACAAATAATTATTTTGGAACACTGAAGCAATGGTGGGATTTTGGGAAAGTCCAATTAAAACAATTTTGTCAACAATACTCTCAGAACGTAGAGGTAACCCTGATTTTAAACATCTTAGAGACTGAAATTTTAAAATTGCAAGAATTGGCTCACTTGCCTGGGAATCAAAGTGATGTGGAGTCTCTTATAAAAAATAAAAAGACTCAGTTATCTGACCTTTTAGGGATTAAAGCACAGGGTGCTCTGGTCAGGTCACGTTTTCTAAGTGTAAATGAGATGGATGCACCGTCAAGGTTCTTTTTCAGTTTGGAAAGGAAAAATGGACAGAACAGAGTCATTCATGCTTTATGTTCTGAATCTGGAGTGTTATTGACTGACCCTAAAGACATTCGTAAGAGAGCAGTCACTTTTTATGAGTCTTTATATAAAAATGAATTGGGTCCAGATTACAGGGATGACAGTGAGTTTTTTGATAATCTTCCTCAAGTGTCAGAGGAAGTCAACACAAGGATTTCAGGTGCCTCGACTATGGGGTAACTGTGTAAAACCCTCCAAGGTATGGAGCTGGGAAAAGCACCAGGGATCGATGGTCTGCCAGTTGACTTTTATAAGTAATTTTGGTCAGTGCTTGGAGAAGACTTGCTGGAGGTACTGAATGACAGTTTAGCCGGAGGGCTGCTGCCATTGAGTTGCCGCAGAGCTGTCTTGACTCCCCTACCCAAGAAGGGTGATCTGACGGATATCAAATGCTGGCGGCCAGTCTCCCTCCTGTGTAGTGACTACAAGCTGCTCTCTAAAGTTTTGGCTAATCGATTGGCAGAGGTCATGGACCAAGTGATACATCCTGACCAGTCATACTGTGTTCCTGGTAGGTCAATCTTTGATAATGTTTCCCTGATTAGAGATCTTCTTGATGTCTCTAAGATGTTAAATTTAGATTGTGGTTTAATATCATTGGATCAAGAGAAAGCTTTTGATTGTGTTGAGCATGTTTATTTCTGGAGAGTTTTGGAGGCTTTAGGGTTTTGTAAAAAATATATAGATCACGTGAAAGTTCTCTACAGTGACGTTCAGAGTATTCTCAGGGTGAACGGTGGTTTATCTGCTCCTTTTGGAGCTTGTAGAGGCAGGGGTGTTCACTTTCTGGCATGCTCTACTCCTTGGCCATAGAGCCTTTATTACAGCAAATAAGAATGAAACTTCATGGTATATCGTTGCCAAATTGCAATGGCAATTTTTTTATTATCAGCGTATGCTGATGATATAGTAGTTATAATCAGTAGGCAAAGTGATGTACAGGTTTTATCTGAATTGCTTGGCAAATTTAAAGTTTTATCTTCTGCTAATATAAATTGGAATAAAAGCGAAGCACTATTGATAGGAAGCTGGAAACATGGAAAACCAAGACTTCCTGCTGGTGTATGTTGGGGGAAAGAAGGTTTTAAGTATCTGGGAGTCTTTTTAGGTGATGAGACAATAGTACAGAAACTGGGACGGTTAATTGAAAAAGTCAAAGGACGCTTAGAAAAATTTAAGTTTTTGTCTTCAAAATTATCATAGAGGACGCATTTTAATTGTTTACAATTTTGTGGCGTCTTCCTTATGGCATACGTTTGCTTGTGTGGATCCTCCTTTGCAGTTGATTAAAAAAAATCATTTTTGGGGGGGTAGATTACATTGGATTTCACAAAATATATTGTTTTTGCCTAAGGAGGAAGGTGGGCAAGGACTCATACATCTCCAAATCAGGATTGTCACACGTTATAGAAACGAAAATGATGGTGTATAAAATTGATTTTAAGATAAAAAATTAGATGACAAAGAATTAACTTGACGGAGCTCAAACTCCTTGAGCTCAAACTCAGATCACATAAATGACTTGGGAAGAGAAAGGGATTCCATTTAACGCCTTCATGATGTAGAGAAATGAGGAGGAAAAGTGAGGATTAGAAAAGGTCAGCAAATCCAAGGAAACCCCTTTATCATATAGCTTCTCTCTCTCTCTCTCTCTCTCTCTCTCTCTCTCTCTCGCTCTCTCTCTCACTTCCGGTGTGATTGTTGGGAGTGCGGTTGGTTTCTGTGAGTGAATCTTTGTTCGTTTTTTTTTTGTTTAAGTTCTAGTTGTTTTGGGCCGCGTGCTACCTGTTTTACCGGCAGCATGACTGCCCCGCGCTCGCAATGTTTGAGTTCACAATATAATATACCACCGTTCTTAAGTGATGAGATATTAACTAAAGCTTTGTCTCGTTATGGCAAACTGGTCTCTCCCATTAAAAAGTGGGAGAGTGGATCACCCTTACTAAAACATGTTGTTTCGTTTAGGCGTTTTGTTTATATGATAATGAATGACAATGCTGACTTGGATGTTTCCTTGTACTTTCGGGCTGATGAGTACGATTACATTATTTACGCAACAACTGACAAAATGAAATGTTTTAATTGCGGGCAAGCTGGTCATTTAATCCGTGCTTGTCCCGCAAAAAATTCAAACAACCCGTCAGCTAGTGGTGATGTAGGCGCTGGTAGAAATTATGTGGTGGTTAACGCTGAACCCGATGAAGCAGGACCGTCAGACGAGGCCCCGGGTGTTTCAGGAGTACGAGCAGTGGAGGACAAAAATGATGATGAATTACCTGTGATCATGGTACTGCTAAAGAATTAGCGCCTGAAAACATGTTTTCTGGTGCAGAAGTGTCTAATGTTCAGGCGGAGGTAGCCGTCATTGAGACAGATAGGCATTTAAACAATGCTTTCAATAATGTCCTACAATCTACTGTGAAGAATATATGTGATGACACTGTAATGAAAACAGAGCAGACAAATTTTAAAGTCCCGTTAAAAGAAGAAGAAGTCTGGTAAAGCTCCGATTGTTAGACATGCAAAGAAAGCAGATATAACCGAGTTAAGTGACAAGGATGAAACGGAAAGTGATAGTGAATCCTTTGATTCAAGTGTTAGTCTTTCTCAGAGTGATTTCTCTGGACGTCATTATGAGGTAGATGACATTAAACTGTTCCTTAGAGCTATTAAAAATAAGAGAGGAGTGTGCATTAATGAATATTTTCCTGACATGAAACAATTTGTTGAGAAAACAAAGTGTTTCATGATGGAGGGCTCCTTTACAAATAAGGAGGTCTATCGGCTGAAAAAAATGGTGAGGAAACTTAACTCTGAGCTTAGCAATGAGGACAGTGAGAAAGCCTAATTCCATGTTTTTTAAGAGGAGTTTCCTGTGGGCAAGGATTTTTCTTTTTTCCTTTTTCTTTTCTTCAAGTATGTGTCATGTTAATGTTGCCACTCTAAATTTGAATGGTACTAGAGATATGCACAAAAGAGCTGAATTAGAAATTCATCAGAAAAAAATTGATGTTACTCTGTTACAAGAGACACAAACTGATTTTAGTAATGCTGCTGATTGGGCAGTAGAATGGAATGGGATTGCTGTCTTAAGTCATAATACTTCACTTAGTGGTGGAGTTGCTATTCTTTTTGCTAAGAATTTCAGCCCACACTC